ATGGCCAGGTTGCTCATTCCCGTCGTCAAGGCGTACGCTGCCACGCTGGGAACGCAATACTCGGCGGTCTGCCTGGCGAGTTTGGGAGGCCAAGGATACATGTCTGAGACGCCTACAACGACGCTGCTCAGAGACAGCCTCGTCGAGACGATCTGGGAAGGCACAGCTTCGGTGCTGAGCTTGGACGTAGCTCGCGTGCTTGTGCAGAGCAGAGGAGAAGCCCTGTTCGAATTTGTCGTCGAGGTTGAGCGTTCCTTGGGAGAGTCGTACCAGCATCTTAGACCAGCTTCAGACGCTTCGAAGAATGAAGGCTTTCAGGCTGGCCCGGCCGAAGATGTCCGAGACCTATTGCGAGACACTACAAACTGCCTCGACGCTTTGCGAAGTCGCGGCTGGAAAATGCTGCAGAGCGGTCTGGCCAGCAACGACGCTCGGATCGCCCGTCTGCTGCTGGAGACCATCGCCAAAGTCACGGCCATTGAACAGCTGTTAGCGCACGCAGCTTGGCTGAACACCACTCATCAGAATGCTTTCGAAGCTACCCTCTACGTCAAGCGAGCTCAGCGCTTCCTCGAACTGACAGGCGGCTTCGAGACGACGATACGTCAGCTTCAAGTCGAGCCGGCTAGTTACTCAGAGACCGCAAGCACCGACAGACTCTTGGCCCTCATCGACGTGCCTATGCTTGGCCCCTCGCCTGCTCAATCCCTCGGCGCTCTGAGGGCGAATCTGTAGTCCTCCACGATCCGTGGTCCGATGCACGCTGCTGCACGTGCAGAGCTACAGAATAGCTAATGGATCTCGATTGCTTCACAGACGGCTTTGGAAGACTACGTCTCCATTTCTCTTCCGTTGCAAACGCTCCATGTGGCAGCAGTCTAGCGTAGATACCCAAGTGTGAGAGTAGAGCGCTCATTGGTACCGACCGCAAAGCAGTGAGCGATCCTTCTGACAAGCAAGGCCTGCGAATCGACAACAGCGCTTGCTGGCTGAGAATTGTGTCGTAACGACCGTGGCTTTGGCGTTGCTTTGAGCGCGGCGAAGAGCTTTCAGCAATGTCGATGTGCGAGCGTAAACCCATAGACGTCGACATTGTCAATTCTCGAGGCGACTACGTGGAGCACTGAAAGCATCGAGACAGCAGAGGGCAAAAAAAAGCTCACGCCGGCTCTTCGAAACCGCCGGCGGCCAAAAAGAAGCAAAACCAAAAACCTACGGCATCTAGGATTCTCGCGTGGTCCCCCACCGCAATACTGACTAGACCCTACGGGGCTTAAATACTTAGGAGATCGGACGGGATCCTGTGCGTTTCCCGTGGTATGGCCGTAGATATGTGAAGCAGTGAGTTACAGATATATATACTCTAACTCTCTTCACCAACTCATCCCCCTTATTTGCCTAGGAGAGGCCTTCACACGTTCAAGTGCACAGCCAGCCGCGTGAAAGCAAGGGTGTGGTGCTGCATATTCTTGGGCGCACGGTCTTGTGCAGCTCGCCGCGCTCGTACAGACAGACCCTCCAGGCTTATTGCTGAGTGCATGCATGTGATGGCACCGTCCTGCGCAGCTCGCTAAATTCGATGGGCCACCCTCTCCCGACACTGATAGACGAAGGGTGAGGGGGGCACTTTCTCCGTGCTCCTCAAACACTCAAGGATACTTACCATTCACACGGATCTCATTGGACGCTTGTGCGCACGACTCGGTTGACGGCAACGCGCAGCACCCAATGATTTCCATGAGCTTTGACATTTCACTGCAAGCGTTGTTGTTCAAATTGAAGGTTAATGCTAGGAGTTCCTGATAGAGCAGTATATGTTGCGCAAGAACA